AAGGACGCGCAAAGTTGTGCCAAAAATACATTTAACAGGAACGGATTCAGCCTTACTGGAGGATATAATAAATAGTGTAACACGCAGAGCTTTTATTATAAACAGATAGAATTTTCTGATGAAGAGTGGCTCATCAGCTGTTTTGAGGAAAAGTCATTTTTCAGTTTGGCACTGCTGCGCTCTGGGAGCGCGACACACTGCTCGCTGCTCATGCACGTGCAGCAGCAGCGATTGAACTGGGATTCCACAGGGGCTTTCCAAAGGGAGCTGGCAGACCGATTGGGACCGTGTCAGTCCAGTCCACCCAAAGCAGAATCATGACCGATGGAACGGTCTCATCCATCTGAATCGAACTCTCCAACATCACGTCATGTGAACTCTCCACTGAGGCCCAGAGACTCGTTTCTTCATATCAGCAATGAAATAAACAAAGATCTATCAAACATCTGAGTTCCTCTGTTCCTCTGTAATTATGGTAAGAAACTCGTGCGTAAAGTTAATATTTCCAGGCTCAGAATGAATGGATGCGCTGGCTGCGCACCACAGCAGCTTCACACACGCGCGCACACACACCGACACGCAATCATTCGTTCTTTGCGTGACAAACATATTTTACTCTTATTTTTACTTAGGATTTTTTTCTAACTCACATTACATTTAATTAATTATTTTCCTGACTAGAAATCATTTCTGATCGCGCAGGGATCACTCAAACGTGTCCTTCACACATGCAGGAAGTAATTTGCATCTGTTTAACATATGTTAATGAAGGCGTGTCAGGGGAGGTGTCTCACGTGCGCTCAGTTCCACGTTAATTGTGATGTACAAAAGAAATGTGCATGGATTCAGGCGTATGCACAGTTTGATACATATGGATTTTTTTTGTGCGTACGCCGTTTTCTGGATTTGACCGTACGTCAGGTTTCAGTAAGAAATCCACGCAAGTCTTTGTACATGAGGCCCCGTCAGTTTGTGCTCCAGCAGTCTAAGCCTATAGAAGGAATAATTCAGGAAAACTAAGTCTAATTATATGATTTATCAAAAAGGAAAGTCTTCAGTCTAATATTAAAAGTAGACAG